AACAATAAAATAAATTTTGTCTAATATGTCTACTATACCTACAATCAATGGATTATTTTAAAGACTCAAATTTAAGTATAAATCAAGTAGCTTAAAAAAAAAAATAGTGTTCCTGATGCAAAAGACCAAATAAATAAATTAACACATTACATGCTCCAAACTTGTGATTGTACTTCAAACATGCTTTTAGCATAAATGTAAATAGAATTTTGAATCCACTGTGACATAGAATGTATATAGACATTAACTGGTTTAAGTAATATCAATTTGGGTTTTTTCTTCTTCACAGAAACTAATGTGGTTACACATGAAACATGAAGCATGATGAACATAATGTGTCCTTTTTGTATCTTCATGTTGCAAATAATAATCAAAGTCTAACATTCAATAATGCAAATAGCTTCAACTATGTGTTTTCATCTACAACAAAGCTGCAAGGAATTACCAAACTCAAGGTGTGCTCAAAATAAATAGCAATACAAAAAAAAAAACTGCTACAATGAAATGTTAGTCTATAAGAATTCTATTTCAGATGAACAATATCATAGCATTACATGTATATCTATTTACACATTAAGAAATAACACATAAGTTAATCCCTTGATTTAGGTTTTAAAAGGCATTTTAACAGATGTGATTTATTCCGTTAGCAAATATTACCAGCATTATAAAAATAGCCTAATAATTCATATATGTGAAAAGTATTATTAACACTGTTTTTCCATCGGAAATGAGTTTGTCATTTATTTTTCATTACAAAAGATAATGAAAGGGTATGATAAATGTTATAGATTCCTGATGCTTGTGCTTAACATTGTCAAATGACACTGCATCTTAATCCCTTTCCTTCAAATTTATAATAACACCAAATTATCAGTCGGAAAATAGAAACTGAAATTAATTATAGTTCATTGATCTTTGTAATGACAGCTAAAATTCATTCAATAATGATCTCTTATGAAATATACCAAGTCTGGGAATATCTTTCCTGAACAATATAACTCATTACCTGGCAAGGTTGTAATTGTTAGCTTCAGCCTTTCAAATCTATATTTTAGTCTTATTTCTAGAGCATACCATAGCAAAATTTAAATTTACATTAAAAATTAAGCAAAAGATATCAGTATGTTTTTTTTTAAACCTTAGAATTTGAATGATTGAATCCTAACCCAAAATCTATTGAATACACCTCTATGTTACATTATTTATGTCATTTCATACTGTTCAGAATAATTGGATGAAAATAATATGACATACACAATGTAAATCTACATTTTCATTATACATCAAGCTAGAACATCTACATATAAAGTCAATGACAAGGAAGAAGAAAGTTCTAGTAGCTTAAGTAATACTACATAGAATGAAGACTGCATTTGATACGCATGTTATTCACAACAACAAAACAGCTCTTTCACCATGATGTTACAAGCATGTTTTAAAAAGAGATGAGCATTTCAAATTACCTTACTAAGCCAGGGTATTCTGTTGAACCCTCAAAATATGTCTGCCTACAAACCTTCAACAGATTCAGAAAAAATATATACCGGTAGCTTGAATAAACATAGGGATAAAGAGATATACTGGATTTTGTTTGATAATATAAAGTCTTTACCAAAAGTAAGACTAATATATGACTATTATGTTAAAGTATCATGGCTACTTCATAGTTAGTCAATTTGAAGCTGGCATTATGAATATATTCATATCAGAATAGAATAATATTTGATAATTTTCAATTGTCACAATTACTTGTCGGATTTTTTCATAAAACCCTCATAGGAACATTACTTGATACTTCCAAAACAAGGTGAAAGTTAAGTAAGTTCACATACATGTGATATGGTCAATCTCACAATGTATTAACAGCCCCAGTAAGCCAAATACAACAATTGTATATATGTGGGCATTACAGCTTCATCTGAACTCTTAAAACATTAAACATCTTTAATCTATATTCAAGGAATACAGAACAAATTGGAGTTCTTTTTCCAAAGCAATCTATGACATGTGGTAGACTATTTCTGTGACATCAAAATACAGTATACTGTACTACCAAACTAGCCTGAAAAATGACAACACTTTAAAGCTTCATATATCTTGTCCAATGTAAAGATTTGCATCCCTGGAACTAGAATAGTGTCTTTATAGGAACGTTATAGAAAGCTTTGGTCTTACCTTTGCTCAACTTCAGTTTTGTAAAAGAAGAAAAATTGTCTCACTTAGAAAGAGATTCAATTAAACAGTCATTTTACTTTAAGAAAAAGAAAAAGAATGAATAAAATTGGAGTGGATCTGAAGCTTTATCTTCTTAAGAGAAAACTTCCCATCTCACCACCAGTTTTTACTTTACACTATAAATACAATGGTCAAGAGAAACATAAATTTGTCTCAAACTCTTGAGAAATAATGAGTTTTTTTTCAAAGTCAACATCTTTCTGATAAAAAAGCTGCATGTAAGACCATACAATCCTTATTACATTTACATTACAGGCAAAGTGAGAATGCATGTATTTAAGTTCAGCTGCTAAAATATATGAAGTTAAATGCTTCTAAATCATACATGATCACTAGTTGGAATGATATGTATATAACAATGAGAACAAGAGGAGCATAAAATACCACTCAAGTGTAACAGAATTGTTCAGTGGTATTTCTAGTATGAGCTACAATTACAACTGTAATTCTGTGCAAAGGTTTTTCCAACGAAACAATCTTCACAAAAATTGACTGATCTTCTGATATCTCATTAAAGATATGTATTATACTTGACTATTTCAAGAAAAAATAAAACTAAACAAATTGTGCAAAAATGTTTGAATAGTGCATATAATCTATAAAAACACCGATTAAGAAATATATTTAGTGGAAGTTGCCTTGAAATAAAATAGGTGATATGACACATTAATAGAATTCTCAATTATAATATTACACAAATACATACGGTACTTAATATGGGAACAAAATAAATGCAACCTGAATTAGTGGAGTATAAATAATTTAGCAATGTCACTTGAAGATACGTTTTGGCACGGAATCGATCAATTAATTCATATAATGTTTAACTCTAAAGTCTTTCCTCATCAAATGTTTCATATGGTCCTTCAAGTTGAAACTCAGTGTGTGTCAAAAATATTTAACGTTTACAAAAATTCAAAGGATGGCCAACGAACATGATCTGTTCAGAAAAAACTAGATGGAATTTTGACTGCGCGCAGTCGAAAATGATGCCTCCGCCATAGAGCAATTTAAACAAGTTTGGAGTTTAAATCTCCAGTGGTTCTTGAGATATCATGATAACAATCTCAATGTATGGAATTTCATAAGTTGACCTCTGTGACCCTTGACCTTTGACCTACGTGCTCCAAAATCTATTCAGATTGTCTTCCTATGGTGATACACACTATCATTAAGTTTGAAGTTTAAATCTCCAGTGGTTCTTGAGATATTATGATATGGTGATACATACTATCATTAAGTTTGAAGTGAAAATTCTCCAGTGGTTCTTGAGATATCGCGATAACGATCTCAATGTATGGAATTTCATAAGTTGACCTCTGTGACCCTTGACCTTTGACCTACGTGCTCCACAATCTAATCAGATTGTCTTCCTATGGTGATACACACTATCATTAAGTTTGAAGTTTAAATCTCCAGTGGTTCTTGAGATATTATGATAACAATCTCAATGTATGGAATTTCATAAGTTGACCTCTATGACCCTTGACGTTTGACCTACGTGCTCCAAAATGTAATCAGATTGTTTTCCTATAGTGATACACACTATCACTAAGTTTGAAGTTTAAATCTCCAGTGGTTCTTGAGATATCATGATAACAATCTCAATGTATGGAATTTCATAAGTTGACCTCTGTGACCCTTGACCTTTGACATACGTGCTCCAAAATCTAATCAGATCGTCTTCCTATGGTGATACATACTATCCTTAAGTTTGAAGTTTAAATCTCAAATGGTTCTTGAGATATCGCGCTAACAAACTCAATACAAGGAATTTCATAAGTTGACCTCTGTGACCTGTGACCTTTGACCTACGTACTCCAAAATCTAATCAGATCGTCTTCCTATGGTGATAAATACTATTCCCGAGTCTTAAGTTTAAATCTTAAATGGTTCTTGAGATATTGTGATAACGGTCAAACGGGACGGACGGACGGACGTACGGACGGACGTACGGACGTACGGACGTACGGACGGACAACCCGAAAACATGATGCCTCCGGCACCACCTTCGGTGGCGGAGGCATAAAAAGTGACAACAGGTATTAAGCTTACTATATAATTGGTGTGTCTGTAACACTCCCAAATTAGGAGCTGCAAATAATATTATTATCATCATCATTATTATTATTATTATTATTTCAAATCTTGAAAGCTAGCGGTGGGGGGGGGGGGGGGGGGGGGGGGGGCTGACTGCCAAACCTCTGCTCATTTGATTCAGGAAGTGCCAACCATAATACCCGGCTATAATATAGACTTATGTCACATTAAATTGCAGGAGCTTCAGGACTCTATTCATGAAATTCTTGTGTGGTTGGCAAAGTAGACGAGTGTCTAGAGCTGAAGGCAATGTACGTAAGAAAGTGTATTGGACAGAAGTCTACATTATATCAGATAAGGGAATTCTTGATAACTATTGTGTCAATAACGAGGGCAAACTAGGCTACTCAAATCCTAAATGTAGATAGATGTCATACAAGATTATATTTTCAAATGTGACAAAATAAGCCATGTGATACTATTATTCCTTTAGGCTGTGTAATGTGTGCGAATGCAAAAACAGTTTGAACACCAATCTACAAATATTCACTTTAAATATTTGCATTTGAATAAATCAATAAATCGTTGAAATGGTGATGGTTAGATAACCCTTAGACGATAAACTTGTTTTCCTTCTTAAGTGTCATACCTACTGAACAGAAAGAACTATGAATGCTTGAAGATCTGTGCTAATAATAAGCAGGGGCTCTGGATACCCCTCCCCCTTTCCCTACTACTGAAATAGCCCTTATAGCTCTCCAAGTAGCAGCTTTTCTTCTTCATTACCTAATTTATTCTTCTTTAGATCAATGGAGGGTGTGACGAATACATTCATATGTCTGTTCATTCAAAATAATAGTAATAAAATAACAATTAGAGGATGATTTACATAATCATAAATACATTCATAAGAATCACAGTACTGAAGAAAATACTGTAAATGTTACATTGTAATATATATCATCTTAACTAAATTGAACTTGATGTGAAATATTATGTCAAATATATGGAGTTGTTTGGATAAAATTGCTCAAAATTTCCTTCAAATGAATACACTTTAATATCTTAACATGAATCAACAGTTGGTGCATACAGTGCAGTATATTTTTGGAATGGTGAGTTACATATTTCATAACAAATATATATAATTCTTTTACATCTTTTCAATTTCTAAACAAAGCATTATCTTACATCAAATAAAGAACAAAATCTATTGACAAGTTACCACAATTTCACAAGAAAATAAGACTGACACAATTAGGGATTGTCTCATAAAAAATAAAGATATAACATACTTCTCTTTCAAAAATAAACTATACTTCCTTGTCTTTTCATTGCATTCACTTAAAACACCTGACAAGCAATGACCACTTGGTGGCGCTCTTTCATCTTAAGGACACAAATGTGGTTCATTTTTTAATAAAAATTTGAAAGAAAACAAACATTCAGTACTTCTCATTTTAAAACCTACCTTATGATACAACATGATTAGGCAGAACGGTGGATTTTCTCACTCATTTCACATGCATAAATCTACATATTTACAAAAAATCCCATTCACAAAACAGGAGCAATTCATTTTACGATCAATAATATCTTTTAAAGATGGCACCAAATATTAAAGGTAATCTCGAGTACTGGAAAAACCAAAATCTCATGATTGGAATTATCTGATTTTATTCCCTAAAATGTAAGGTATCGCCAGATCTGAATTTATCCAAACGTAACATTATCTGACTGATTTCACTGTAGGGTGCCCCAAAACATTTGCCCTTTTGATTTCTTCTAAAAGGTTGCATTAATAATTTGTATCATTTCAATAAAAATAGAGATAACATTACTAGAATTCCATGTTATAATTTTGTTAAAGACACTGACATTAACTTTAATCAACATCATTGCAACTTTAAAATGACACCCACATAAAAGGCATTTCAAATGACAACACAGAAACAGATTACCGGTTCTTATATTTGCTCGTGCATATTTTACATGTATATTCATATTACATACAAGAATATATGCACCATCAAAAATATTCAACCTTTTTTTCTTCAAATTTCAATCATATTTTCACCCCTATTTGTATTTTTGAAATACCACCTTTTACTTAAAAACATTTTGTTCAGTAATAACTTTCACCATGGCCTTTTTCTCGTAATTTACATTGAGCTTTTCTTCCGACAAGAAAGACATAATTAACTATACAAGCATCAAACAATAAAATGACGGAGCATATGCTCACTGAATCTACAGACATTGTATTATATACAGATATCAATTCAATTACGCTGTACATTAATTTATACATCAATATGTTAAAGAGGACCAAATAATCTCCAAACATTTGGCAAGTGCATAATACATTAGCAACAACATGAAGAATGTTGTGATAAATCTTTGGTAACAATTTGAATAAAAACTGCTGCTGTTTTTTTTTTATTGATACATCATCCAAGAATGGACAAGAAGTGATATAAAAGATAACAAAAAACACTAATAATGAATAAATAAATAAAATATAAAATGGTAATAAGTGAAGAAATCATCCACAGCATGCGTATAGTTTTCAATTTGGTCAAGTAGAGAGATACAAAGGAGAATGCTGTTCTCAGACATACAGTTAATGACTATGGAATTATGTTTAACATACTTATACCTCTTAACTTCCAAAGAGATGGAAATATGTCCTATGTTTTTGAAATCACAGAATAATCTGACAAGATAATCTCAAATTTACACTGACGAAGCGTTTTCATCAGCAATACATTTGGCTACACGTATATATATGTACAACTGGATCAATATCAATTATGACCTCGTAAGAAGGAAAAGTACATACTATTAAGCAAACAACTTGAAATAAACTTTACAGGACATAAATAAGTCATTCCATATAAATATAAAAATCTGACCACACAGGACTTGTTTAAGAAACATAAAAAAGATGGGCACGATTGCACTCCGTACCTGTGTAGTCTTTTTTCTTAACATATAAAAGAAAATTTCTACTAAATGCACATAAAATACATATATATTGCAGAGTAAGCATGGAAGTTCAGAAAAGTGCACTTTTTATACAGAAGATGCACTAGGAACAATCCTTGTTTTCACTGAATGTATTTCTATAATAATCTAATTGAGGATTGTCTCTGCCGATGGGGGCATAATTTTCCTTTAATAATGTTAAAATGGAAATGATAACTTTGGCTTGCCTACTGGTAATTGTACATGTCAAGTACACCCAATGCACACAGATAATATTTACTTTTACCCCTCCCTCTGGCTACCAAGACAAATCTTCTTCATTATATAACATTAGATGAACAGATAATATATTGAATTTGATCAATATGTCTATAACTCATGAAAGCAATTCACAAGAACATTGTGACCTTTCGGATTAATTTCAAGACAATCTAGCATTAGACAAAATGTCTACTGCTTGAGAAATGCAATGTGAGCAGACTCACTAATAATTTGGAAATATTCTAAAGCTTATATTTCATTCAAAAGGCTTAATGCTTGCCTTCTTTAACAACAATATACAGGAATATTTCTTTATTCATGGCACTGTCTCATCACTGTTTTTTCCTCTTTCAAAATAAACAAATCTCTTTTGTTGACATTACATTATACATTCAACCAAGTTTAGTTACCATAATCCCATGTAAAGGATTTTCCTACATTACTGGCGATAATCCTTCGTAGGATTCCCTTTCTCATTCCCTGCGTGGTCTACGTCTCAAGGTGCCATAGTCTTCATAATCATTGGTGGATCGAATTCTCTTGCCAACTTGCACTTGTGACTGGGCAGTCAGCTGAAGGTGGATGGCTGCAGTGTTCAGTTTGCTCGTTGAGGTGAGGATACCTCGCAGCCCTTTCATTTTGGCACTCCTCAAGAGGATCTTAGGTACGGGTTGTGGAGGCAAGTTGATGCTGTCCTCCAGTTCGTCTTTGGTTTCATCATCCTCATCGTCACCCTCCTCATTCTGTTTACTATCACTCTGTCCTTGTGCATTGTCATTATCATCTTGCGACAGCTGTGACTTTAGACGCCTTTGGAATGCCATTTCTGCAGGACTCTCTGCTTTCATGAGAGACTCGAGTGTCATGCCTGGGAAAGCGCTGCCGTTGGAACGAGTGCTAAGGAAATCACTGAATTCGGTCTTGGTGTCCCAAAGTAACCCTGTCCCAGCAAAAGGATCTGAGAAGAGTTCTGGATTAATGTTATCCTCACTGCGTTCACCCTCATTCTCTGCCTTGCCTTTTTTCCCGCAACCGTCAGCTTCATCAGGTGCAGAGACCACATTCTTGTTGATATCCTCTTCCTTGTCTTTGACTGCTTTTTTGGATTCACTTTCCTCTTCCTCTTCTTCCTCATCTTTCATTTCTTCTTCATTATCTTCCTCTTTCTCTTCCACTTCTTCCTTCCCCTCAGCATCGATCAATCTAACATCCAACCTGTCCCGTATGCTGCTGTCAAACTTGGTGACCGAGGCTACAAAGTGCTTCGCCCATGTGATATGCAAGACGGGGGTGGAACTGCCTTCCTCCCACTTACAGATGTTGTCGTAGAGACGCAGGTAGAATCCGTAGCACTCAGGGTCTTTAGGGATGTGCCTGGCATCTCTGGAATGGTACACAGTGGCTTGCTTCAGGATGGTAGGGATTAATTCATTGGCCACTTCCAGAAATTCCTTGTAAACTTCTTCATCTTCCCGTTGGTAGTTGTATCTTGAAAGAAGAAAATGATAGGATTCAAAGAAATGAATTATCATATTTCACACAGAAAAAAAAAGAAAAGTGTAATACTTAATAAAAGCTTTTCTCACCAATCATTCTAACAGTATGATTTCATGGTGATATCTACCTATTGTGTATTTACATTGTACATTAGATAAAGTAAGAACCTTAACATCTGAACTGTTCAATTAAAATTGTTTTGTTAGCTTTCCTGATCCCTTTGATATCTATTCATATTGCACACAACTGCTCTGCCTATCATTAACAAACTTTACTCAATATTTCTCAAAGGCATACAGGCCAAGGCATTCATTCTGAATATGAAAGTAAATATAGTTATCCGCAGAAGTAAGCGAGTGCACCCTTTGCAGGTTTATACATATTTCAATGCAATTTAAAACGAAATTGATAACGTTTAAATGGAAAAGCTGCTATGTTTGCATACACAACTAGAGAATGTCTGCTGGATTCATGCATTTCTAGCGCAGAGGTTTACAAAGTTACAACAAATCATTTACATACTTGTGAAGGATACTGTAAAATACTATGTACATTGAGCAAGACAATAGAGAATCTACTCACTGACTGAGCACTTTAGCTCCCTCTGCCCAGTACTGCATTGCCCTCTTGTACTGCTTCTGCCGGTAGAGATGACCACCCAGATAAGTGTAGGGATAGACATGGTGGTCAGAATAGAACTCCTTGCCCGCCTGAATAGCCTCCTCAAACAGTTCAAGGGTTGTAGGTCGATCTGGTGTGGGGTCAATGCTTTCAAGGTCACCAAGGTTGCTCAGAGCAAGAGGATACCTGCAGGATGAGAAAATTGAAAAGAAAGTTGATGAGAGTCGGATTGCTCTGCTCCAAAAACAAGAATAGGACCTAATTTTTACCTCAACTTTCCCTAACATGTATGTATACATACTCTAAATTGTAAAACTGCTATTTGAATTCACATGTTTCAAAAGTTTTCACCGACCTGTGTGTTTAAAGGTGAACAAAGGACAACCTGGCTTTAGAGGTTCTGATATATTATACAATGCAAAAAATATATTGACCGCTCTATTACCTAAATAAAATTGCAGTCCATTCAGGAGGAAATAAAATCATTGTCTTGATAAGGTCTTAATTTGTCCATTTAGTTAAAAGAACCTGGAACCTGTAACATAAAAATCAACTTGCAATCAATCGTAAAAATATATTGTATCTCCAATCTTGCTACAATAGTAGCAACTTACCATGCATCGTTTCTGAAGTTACTAAAGATAAGACTGATTGAAGGAGATACATCTAATATTAGATATTTACACTCCATAGTAACTTATTATTAACAAACAAGGTTACCTTTACCTTTCATGTCTGTACCTTTCCTATTGCACTTTTGTATATCATGTATTTCATCTTTTGCACAAACTGCGCCTTGAGCATTTGATTGCCCAATGGATTTGCCACCATACAAATCTTATTTATTATTATTATTATTATTATTATTATAATAATTTTTATGTTACAATTCCCAGGCTTTAAAGTAATCACCATCCAAGAATACCAGCCAATGTATTTAGCAATCAGACACTTCATATAGCAAGGACGCTTTGAACAAGGATATATCAAGACAACTTTGGAGAACAGTGAATAACTAAACTGGTAAGCAAATATGAACAGAAAGGGCAGGGAAGATGATTTACAACTAAATGAGGATATTGTCTTTCCCCTCCACAACAATTCCAGGAAACTATAAATTATATATACGTCAGAAGACTCCACAGGGAAATAACATAACTATAAAATGAAGTGCTTACTTTTTCAGATGGCCCATGTCATAGAGTGACCATAGTAGCTCCTGAAAAAGAAAAGACAGCATAAAATTCTAAAATTTACTGGTTTACCAAATACTGAAACCTGATATCAAAATTAAGCAAAATTTATTGATTCATCAATACTAAAACCTCACTAATAAGAAAAATTTGCTGAATTGTCAAATGATACACATTAAGTCATTACTAACATGGGGTAGAAGTCTTTTCTAATTACAATAAACATGTACCCAGTACATGTATGAAGTCTTTGCACGTGGATGAGATTGAAATGGCAATCACTCACTTTCCTCTATGTACTCAGTGAGGAATTACTGGGTTGTCATGACAACAATATCTAACAACAATCTAAATACGACAATATCCCAGCATACACCCACACAAAATATATATAATGCCTTGTATTAAGGGCATCACAAGTACACTTTGCCTCTTGGTAGAGGAACTCTACACTTAATACACACTTAATACGTTATTATATGTATGTACAGTATGTACATCAGTCTGTAAATATAAACGGTTTCACATCATGAAGAGTCTAGTAACTAAATGTCAATCAGGCATTATTCAATACAGCTCAGTCTGCATGACAACCATTAAGCTTCTACAGCACAGGAATCAATCGTATGCTAATTGATTCCACGATTAGAACAAATGCATAGTCTTTCAGAAATATTGTCTACATTCTAAACTTTACTCAGCTTTTTAGCTTTTGCTCACAATTTTCTTCATGCAAATCTCTTTTCTCCCCTGAAATCAGATTTTATAAAATTGTCAATATGTTAGTAATAAAATCACTGTTTCTTCATTGTAAGACAACCTTACATATGACGTAATTAAAAGGCAGCTCAGGAAAAAAAACAAATGGCTCATCTATTTTTAGGTGTTTGTTCACATTATTGAATTCCAGCAGCCAGTGGCACTGAAGACGCTGAAGGAATGGGACATCGCCTCGCTGGGAAACAAGGACAATTTGCACACAGAATAAACACATGAAAATGAGTCACTTCGTCTGATTTCACTCTCACGTGTAGTGTACACTTCATGGACCAGTATGAAGAGATGAGACAGAGTTAAATCAAATCAGATATTTTAATGACACATTGTCATTCGGTCTGGTCTACTTGCACAGTGCACGAATACTGGCTCTAGGCAGAAATGCATTATTCTTGCCTGGGTGTAATAACATAAATCAGAGGCCTGAGCATAATTTTTCACCTTTGCAAGTATTTGCAAATTGTAAGTAGCTAAATTGGGATGCATTCAGATTCCATTTCAGCCAGACATTTGTTCAAGTTTTGAGACATTAAAACCCTTCTCCCCTTTCTTCCCCCCCCCCTCTATCTCACTCTCTATCTCTCTCTATCTCTTCCTCTCTTACTCTTTTTTATCTTCTCTATAACATGCAAAAATATAAATGATAAAGGGAGAGTCTTTATGTTCTCATATTTCTCAGTTTCCCTTTGAAAATTTCCCCACAGACAATTACTTGATTAGAATCATAATGGCCATTTCATCCATTTGAGAAAAAGACTGTTGAACTTGAAAGTACATGTACTGTTATGAATAATAGAGGGGCGCAAATTTAATTACATGCACACTTTCTTGTGTGTTCACATGCCTTTATTTTCTGAGTCAAGTGCTGTTTTCTTTCAATGGCCCATGAAATAAACAAAATATTATTCACTCATTTCCAGATCATACCAGAAATGGCAAGCAAAATCATACCTAGATGCATACTTTTTCCTTCTTATTTGAATCTATCATGGGCTTCCATTTTCTTCCCTACATAGGAATATTTGTTATGCATTAAAACTCTCAGCAAGCATGTTTAGAGCAATGCACACACACGAATGGGTTGAAGGGAAATCAAACCTTGATAGCAAACTACTCTGAAGGAAAACAGACAAATCAGAGAAGTAGACTGGTGAAAGTTTGAATGAATCTGACAAAAAATGAGAAAGTGAATTTTTAAAGGTTGTATTAAATCACTATACAACTGTAGCTTTGGGCTCTTCAAATTGGCTGAATTGGTAATGTCTCTGTCATGTAGTAGCGAACAATTTTCCCATTTGTTCCAACACACACAATGACTGAAACTTTAAGTTTTCAAAAATGTATGACTCTGGAGATTCTATTCTCTAGAGGATCAATAATAATAATACACTATCCATAATACATTCTGAGTAGAGCCTCAAGGGGAGAAGACATTTAGGAGAAAAACAGAAATTGATTATATTTTTGTACACGATAAATGGGAGAGGTACAGTATCTGGGACTACGTCACAATCCACTGACTAAACTGCTTATATGAGATTTGCTTAGACTTAGTGATCTCATATTTCAAACATTCATAACTTTGATATTATTTGTCAGATGTATTTCAAACTTTCGCCATTATGATTATCTGATTTTTCTGCTTTCATACAAATGAACTTATTACAAGGGTAGGGATGGCCCTTTAAGAATGTTCAAATTACGAACTCCACATCCTACATAGTGGCAACTGTACATATGTTTGCACTATTTGTGCACTGTTGTCACTGCTTGTATAGTCATTCTGAAATATCATGGCTTATAAACCTAAAAAGATAGAGAAAAGTAATTTCTCTAAAACAGAAAGACTTGAGTTATGCTTCATGGTTTATTGAGAGATATTGCAATGGACAAGAAATAGCCATTAGTCAGACTTCAGTGATTTGGTCATTGAGGATTGAGAAAATGGGGAATAATACCTTAAGGACAGACAATTGCAGTAGTTTGGAATTCAGACCGTTTGATTAAAAAAAACCACTCTAATATCAATGATTGAGAACAAGTACCATACAAAACAAAATCAATACGGTATAGACATCAAATTGATGCTTGATGTATGACCAAGAATACGCAAGTGGAAGGAAAGATACCTATCAGTTTAAAAACTCTGTCGCAAAAAATAATCAATGAAATTGACAACAAAGATATTATTATGAGTCACACCATTCTCATGTATGCAACATTCATGAACCTCTTTGTCTTTTGGCCTTGTTCACATACATGTAAAATATTTTGTTTAAAGGTGGTTTACTGCATCATATGTGAGGCTTTCTTATTTATCATCATCAACCACTAAGAATTCATGCTAGATATGATTGATTAAAAACCTGGTTGAAGTGTATAGCAGAGGTGTGTATGAAAATGAATTCATTAGAAGGGTGAGTGGCCGGGAAACAAGACCGTCACCTAAGTTAATTTCAATACTGCTCTTGGCATTTTTTGCCGATGATACGCTGAAAGGTTAATAACCAGACCTAATAACTAAACCATACCATTCACACCATGCTATGAGTAATGCCACAGTTCATCTCTACTCTACAGACATGACAATCATCACGCGATCTTAGCCTTGTGTCATGCAGATGAGTCTCTCAATCTCAATCGAACAATCATGCATGAATATGGCTTCATAGCAGTTGCATCATTTTCAAGCTTTTAATTTCTGTGTTTTGCAGAGAGGTGAATTTGTAAGATGAGGCAGAAACCTGAATCTTAAAAAAGCAGCCCAATTTTGTCTCATCAAAAATACAGTGCATTTTGAGCCAGAGGTGTGTTCACTAATATAATAAACACTGTGCTAACACCCTTCCAGCTCCAAATACCAGGTAGACGATATGAAGCCAAGAATTACAAAAAAAATGCAAATCTCACTTTGTTTAGAAGACTAGAATTTATTAGGTAATGCAATGCAATGCCAAATAAAATTCTACCCTGCATGACAAATATTCAAGAACCCCTGCCTTACACTCAGTATTGGTTACCTACTCTTTCCTGCACATGCTCTGTAGTACACAGGCCTTAAATCTTTTTATATGCATCATTAGTTTGGTCTTTCTAGGTAACAGTCCTGACATAAGATAAACAGAAAATGATCGCTGTTTATCAAAATGTGCATAATTACAACGAGGGAGAAGCAAATGACCCCCCCCCCCCCCACTCCGGGGTCGGAGGAACCGCATGCGTGTTCCCAAAATGTCCGGTAAAGGGGTACTTTTCATGCACCAAAGTCTGGCTCGTAGTACACAAAAATCTGGCCCGTATTAACTTTACACACCAGACTTAGGGGGGTGTTTTCAAAAGGAGGGAACATGCATACGTGTACCCTAAATAACACTGAGTGGGGGGGGGGGGCGGGCAAATGACCAAGATGTGTACATGATGAAAACAAGTGCATTTCTTGCACATGTATTTCACAATTTTAACCCTTGAATGATTTTTTTTTTTTTTAAAGACATTAACAAATTATGTTTAAGGTACTATGTCCCATTTGCAGGCCAAAAAATGAAAAAGTTAAATTCCAACTGCATTTGAAAGATAATACTAATTTAGAACTTCCCTAAAATAAGTGTGGGGCTTGAAAATGTCTTCAAGTGGGAAAATAACGACTACCGTCTTCGGGGAAAACTAGATGGAATTCGACTGCGCGCAGTCGAAAATGATGCCTCCGTTATAGAGCAATTCTACAAACCAAAACAGAAAAAAAAAATTGAATTCACGTTCAATGGTAATCCATTGACAGGTTCTCAGAATATTGTGATTACAAGCAATTTCTCATATACATATATGACCCTTTGATCTTTGACCTCATGACCATAAAATCTACTCAGTTCATTGGCTCTGCAAGATGTTCTGAGTTAAATAGTAATCCATCTGTCAGTTCTAATGAGAATGCGTTCACAAGCTATTTTTGCATACATAATGGGCCCATGACCTTTGACCTTTGACCTTATGAACCAAGAATCTACTCAGTTCATTGGCTCTGCAAGTAACAAACATGACCTAATTTTGGCATGAATCCATCAATCGGTTCTTGAGATAACGCGATCACAAGCTGTTTTTGCATTCATAATGTGCGCTGTGGCCTTTGACCTTTGACCTACGTGCTCCAAAATCTAATCAGATTGTCTTCTTATGGTGATACACACTATCATTAAGTTTGAAGTTTAAATCTCCAGTGGTTCTTGAGATATTATGATAACAATCTCAATGT